AAAAAAAAAAACAGGATTTGAGGCTAGATGCTGCTACAGTCTATGGGCAATGTTCCGCACTGTCTGAATTCTCACTCGCTGAAGAGGGAGGCGAGCTGAGATGGCACAGGGGCGCTGAAAGCATCCACTACAATATGAATCCTATTAAGATAAATGATTTACACAAAATTATTACCAGTTTGTAATTTTTCAACAAGCAAACTCTTTTACAAAAGCTATTTTGAGGACTCTGCACAAAATTAACTGGAAATTTATGTTGAGGAAAACACTTAAAAAACTCAATTACCCAAGTAATAATGATTGTGTAGCTTTTGTCAAGAAGCAGCAGATAAAGAAAAAATGAGTACTCCCAATTTTGGACTCTGTTTCTAACATGTTATACAATAGTTTGAGGATTATTTCCTGAGTACTTTTTTGTAATTATGGCAAATAGCACTTATAAGTAGTTTATCTTTGCAAACTACTTACTTCTCTACTACTCTGAAATAACAAAACATAATCCAGAAAACCAAAATGTAGATCTTCCTCAACTTACATTGGGGCTATATCCTGATAAACTCACTTTAAGTTGGAAATACTGCAAATCAAAAATGCATTTAATACACCCAACCTACCAAACATCACAGCTTCACCTAGCTCACCTTAAATGTGCTCAGACCATTTACATTAGCCTACAGTTGGGCAAACTCACCTCATACAAAGCCTATCTTATAATGGAGTGTTTAATATTTCATATAATTTATTCAATACTGAAAGTGAAAAACGGAATGTCCATGTGGGTACAGAATGCTTTTGTAATGTATGGCTTCTTTACCCTCGTGATCACGTGGCTCATTAGGAGCTGTGGCTCTCTGTCACTGCCCAGCATCATGAGAGAGGATCATCCTGTCGTTAGCCCAGGAAAAGATCCAAATTCAAAATTTCAAGTATGGTTTTTACTAAATGTATATTGCTTTCACATCATCATGAAGTCAAAAAGTCATGAAGTCAAACCACTCTAAGTTGGGGAGTGTCTATACTTTATTATTGAGTAGTGTAGAAAAATATATTCTGTAGTTCACTGTCAATGTGTTTTTTTTTTTTCCACTCTGCTGGTTGCACTGCACCTAAAAACAAGCTGTTCCTGTGACAAATGACTGATGATGGAGGATGTCCACAAGTGCATGAAGAATGTCACGCTTATTTCCAACTTAATTTTCAGCAAGCAACTACATAAGTAATGCACAGTTACGGACCAACCACCCTTTCCAAATGGAAAGCAAACACTATAAACTGAGGTGTGTTAATCTGCAAGTCATCTTCCTGGACACCACAGAGAGGCAGTAGTTAAACATGACAGAATCCTAACGAAGTTTTTTACTCTGCCTTCCAAGGTAGCTACTACTAGATAGAATGTTTCAGATCCACTAAAGGTGGGAGGAAAGAGAAAGGGAATGTATTCTCTGCTCCCAGAAGTGACTGATAGGCCAGAAGAACTACAAAATAGAACTTTGTCTTATAGGGACAGCACCTTTTACACTCCCAATTCCACAACCCCCGGATTCCAAAGGGGAACAATTTGACAAGTCTGGTCGCAGGAAAAGTCCTTACCAGTTTCTGCCCAGACAGGACCTCCAGAAGAGCAAGCAGCTTAACACCATCTTTTATGTCCTCAAAAAGATCATCTACCACCAGTGGGGGTTTCCGCTAGGAGATAAAAAATTAATGAGTAAGTGCAAAAAATGGTTCTCTCTCTCTCTCTCTCTTTGTCATACCTTTGCTACTCACTGTGGTGAAATCTGTACGAACAATCTCTAAATACTTAAATTCTTTATTTTGGATATGATTGGCAATTACCAGTTATTGGAGAAAAACAACCCTTTGGAGAGAAACTTGCTCAAAAACCTCAGGAGACTTAATGCTTGGGCTTTCGTTATACATACCAGCTTCTTTCTAGAAAGGAATTTTTGTCAAGAGTCAAAGATGGTAGGGGGTTAGAGAAGGAAAAGAGGTCACTATCAACATAAAAGATAAGAAAGACATGGACGCAGGGCCTAAACAAGGAAGGGGAGTTGCCCCAGGTAAACTGTACCAACCTCCCAACTTTGCTGTGGGCGAGCACATTACCAGGGCTTACCTACGCCCACTCTGGCTGCAGTAATCTCCTTAGCTCAGGGGCCAGCTGTGGGAGCACAGCTAAGATTGCAGACTGAATGTCCTGTGGGTTAGCTGGCCAGGTCCTGTTTCTCAGCCTGACAAATCTAGCTCAGCTTCTCTCAGAACGTGGCGCTGAACTCAAGAGGATTGTAAGTGCAAGATTACAGACTGATCAGTGCAACTCCATCACCACTACTAGAAAAATAAGTCAAAGCCCATTTTCAATTCTTGGAGGGTCTCTTATTTTTTTATAAAGATCACTAAAATACTTAATACACTGGGCTTTGTCCAACCTTGAATTAAGGTCTATCTTGGCTCAGAAGAAAGGAAACAGGTGATGATGCTAATGTTCATGGTCAGTGGAGGACTGGTGTCCTCAGATTTCTCACAGAAAGAACTTTTCCATTTATTACCTGGGTTCAAGCGCTATAGTTTCCTGTTTCTCCCTGAATCATGTTAAAAGCCTAATGTTATATTTCTGACTATATCCAATTGTCTTTCTTTCTAAAAAAGAAAAAAGAAAGGAAAAGTTCTATGTAGAGATACTTAATCACCAAATGTTTTATTCAAATGAGACTTTTTTCTCTACCCACTGATAGGGAGCATTTATATTTCTCTTATGACTGCATGAATTATGGTCTCTGAATGGCACAATTCTAATTTTAAATGCATTTTCTCTCTTCATAAAATGAACAGATGAATACATTTTGTTCTCATACTGTGAAATACATGTTCAAAAATAACAGAGTTTTCATTTTCAGGCATTCCCTTTTATATTCCACTATTCACACTGTTTATAATTAATATAGCAAAAAATGTAATAATGACTTTATATCCTAAGCATATAAATAAAATTATTAGTGAGCTACAATGAAAACTATTCAGTGTGATAAGAATCAAAATTATTGTATTAGTTATATGTAATCATTAAAAATATGGCCTGTTTATCATGCAAAATATCCATTTGTATCCTAAGAATATAAATGCAGTATAACAATGAGGAAAAAGTTAATAAACATGTGATATATTCAGTGAACAAATGCAAATGAAGTTTTTCTTATACTGTGTTAACCTGAAAATATATAAAGAAAATGAGACAAAGCAGGGAATTTTCTTGAAAAGATAAAAATTCCAAGAAATTTGACACAAAAAACCAAGTCACATCCATTCAACCATTCAGCCTTCGTTGTTGTTTTTTTAAAGATTTATTTATTTATTTATTTGAGAGAGATTGTGCATGTAAGATAGAGAGAGAGAGTAGGGAGTAAGTGTAGGGGCAGAGGGAGAGGGAGAGGGAAAGAATCTCAAGCTGACTGCACACTGAGCCCGGGGCTCCATCTCACAATCCTGAGATCATGACCTGAGCCAAAACCAAGAGTTGGATGCTCAAACGACTAAGCCACCCAAGCATCCCCCCCAAATCTGCCTTTAAACACAAACTCGTCTCTGCCACTTTGAAGACCATTTTCTTGTGACCCCACTGCTGCCTCTGATGTTTCTCCTGTCGAATCTACTGGTGCCCCACAGTCTTCCTTCCCCTCCAGCTGCTTCTGCACATGCTCGTGGACACAGCCGTCAGGTCAGCAGTGACCACTGAGCAACTCAGCTCATCAGCCTCTCTGTGTTGACTGCTGGTACCAACCTCTCCTTGATCTGTTCTTCCCCAAACCTCTTTGATCAGCCTGCCTGGTTCACAAGCCTCTTTTCCTTCTCTCTCTCCTTTCTTTCTGACTGTGGCCATCACCGAGATCAATCCTGACTCCTCTGTTCTTCACAAAATTTTGTTTGGATAGAATGACTCCTGAATCCTACTGTCTAGGTAAATGACAGGCACGCATATATTTTTGGCTGAACAACTGACTGAATAAATGAATAAATGCAATTTTCTAAAAAAAAATGATTTTGGGGGCACCTGGGTGACTCAGTCATTAAGCATCTGCCTTCAGCTCAGGTCATGATCCAGGACCCTGGGATCCAGCCCCGCATCAGGCTCCCTGCTCAGCGGGAAGCCTGCTTCTCCCTCCTCCACTCCCCCTGCTTGTGTTCCCTCTCTCGCTGTCTCTGTAAAATAAATAAATAAATAAATAAATAAATAAATAAATAAATAAAATGATTTTTGTAGCTCCTATGCCCATATTAATGGCTCTTAAAATGTGGTGTGTGTGTGTATATATATATATATATATATGTATATATATATATATATAATGAGTAAAGAAAAATGTTCTCCAGTTTCCAGGCAATCAGACTGCAACACAACACAGAATATCTTGTTTCTGAATGTCTTATTCACAGTAAGAACTCATTAAGTATTAGTTGAAGGAATGATTGAAGTTTCCAGTCCGCATGATAAAGAAGGGTAGATGTTTTTTATTACAAGAACAGATACCTAGAATACCCTCAACTTTCCTCTTTCTCTGCTTGGTAAATTCCTGCTCAATTTTCATGACTCAGCTCATACTTCAGCTTTTTCGGTTTTCCAACTAGAATTAAGTCACTTCTTTTGCCCTAAATACGTTGTTCAGATTAGAATGATCATGTTGCATTACTGATTGTGTTAGTTATTTACAAATCTGCATTAGTTATTTATAAATCTGTGTCCCCAGGAATTCAGATCATGGGGTGGCTTCCTCAAGATAAAGAAGTTGGATATATCATTATATACCTAATACAAGGCACAGTGCTTAACACTAGTTGGCAATAATCATGTAAATGTTGAGTGAATCACACTCAACAGAGATATGTGATGCTTATTTGCAAATACCTTTCAGAATCTTAGAGATACAAATAAGATCATGATGCAGAATTTCTCTTTTTAAAATAGGAAATAAGAGTTGCTTCTGGAAATTTTTCCACCAGTGTCTTCCTGCACAAAGTAAAGAGATGTAGACTGATGGTTATTACCAGTCTAAATAGAAATCGGGAGAAAATATTTCTCCTTAAAATAAAAATGTTTAAAAAATGTTTCTATCAATTTAATTTGTAATGCACAAGTATCATATTTTCAATACACTAAATTATAGGACCAAGCATTACGTAATCAATTCTTTACTTAACTAGTAAAAGAGGTGGAATAATAAACTTCTGGCCAGCCTTACTGTAAAGAGCTGGCAAAAATGAATACTAGAGAATGATCTTCGTATTTCTGTAAGCTCTATCCAATTGCATATAATGTAAACATTGTTCAAAATCAACAAAACACATCAAAAATTACATCAGAATAAAAACATTCTAGTAATTATTGGACAAATTTTGCTCTTCCATTTTGCATAAAGAATTGTTTACATATAGCAAATGATCAACTAGAGGAGACCTTTACTATTGTGACTGAAAATATCAGTTATTTTTTGGAACAATGTTTTAATAAAAAACCTTTCAGATAAAATGTCTTTCCTGTCACATATATAAATACTTACAGCACCAATCTGATTACTCTGGCAGGATTCAGGTCATGGTACTGGCCACCAAAAGAAAGAGTTAGGAAAGAAAGTAACTAATTGGAGCCTGACTTAATGGAAAAACAAAGATAATGTGGTTTTGTTCCTATTCCTTACCAATTTTCAGTTTTAAGCACTAGTCAGGAATCTATCAGGCACTTTTCAAAACCACAATTATCATTTTTTACTATTATTAAGGTAAAATTGTGATAAGCTCTTTTTTTGGTGCAGTATTTTTTAAAATTATATTCTCTTTAGCCTCGACAGTCACATTTAGATTTCTATAGTGGAACCAAAATATCTTCATGCTGAATCCGAGGTTGTTCAAAGAACAGAACTTCCCAATTGGGTCAGTGGGAGAGGGAGATAAAGATGGGAGAGAGAACAGAGGAAGGGGTACTTCACTTCTGTGGCTACTCCTTTCTCTCAGCTCTCCTCAAATGAGGTTTAAACCTAAAATTCTAGCTCTTAAGAGGACTGCCTGGGTCAAAAAGTCCCTGGAAAAACAGGGAAGTTGCACATGCCTCTGTGCCTGGTTATACCCTCGGGAGTTAACTCATGACTGAAACAGACTTTACAGAGCTTTTTTCTCTCTTTCTTCTCCTCCTCCTTTATTTTTGCTATTCAGCTCCTTTAATGACACATAATGAGATTCAAAGTCCATCCTTGATATTTATGGAACGTTTAAAAGTACAGGTATCTTTGACATAATTTTTCCTGACCATTTCCTCTAATTGGGGGAAAACAACCTCTTTTCTAACATTGCGTGTGTGTGAATATCTTGTGTCACTTTACTAGTCTATAAGCATCAGCACCTATTTAAGCCTTATCTACCATCTATTTTCAAATTTTTATCCATGAAAGGATGGCCAAGTTTGCTCTGCCACATGTTGATTTTATGCCCCTAGAAACAATTATGCTGCTTAGAGGAAAAGGAATAAGAGAATAATTTTGATGAAAACAGATATCAGATATAACTATTTGGCATGAAACAAAAATTTAAATAATTCTCACATTTAAAAATTACGTATGAAATGAAAAATGTTGATGCATAAATATGACAAAATAGTTACATTATAGACTACATGTATGAATTCCAATATTTACTAGATG